GGTAGAATTGCACAGTTTGATGTCACCTTGGCCGTTCGCGCAATGGGGAATTGATATTGTTGTACCTTTTCCAGTGGGCCGAGCTCAAAAGAAATTTCTATTAGTAGCGATTGATTATTTCACTAAGTGGGTGGAAGCAGATCCGCTCGCAACGATCACGGCCGCTCGGGTTCAAAAGTTTGTATGGACGCTCATATGCATATTTGGAATTCCCAAAGTCATAGTTACAGATAACGGGCGGCAATTCATTGATAAAGGCTTAGGAGAATTTTACAAAAGGCTGGGAATTAAACATGTCACGAGCTCGGTAGAGCACCCACAAACGAACGGCCAAGTGGAGGCGGCCAACAAAGTTATTGTCGCCGAGCTGAAGAAAAGGCTGGGAGATGCCAAAGGAGTCTGGGTCGATGAGCTTCAGGAAGTCCTGTGGGGATACCATTGCACGTCGCACGGTACAACTGGGGAAATCTCGTTCAACCTTACTTATGGAATGGACGCAATGTTACCGGTCGAGGTAGGAGAACCTACCATACGAAGGGGAGTTCAAAGTCTGCAAGATAACAATGATGAGCTTTGGGTGGAGCTAGATACTCTGGATGAACGAAGAGAGGTGGCTATGATCCGAGCGGAGGCTCGTAAAAGGCTGCTGGCTAGGCGTTACAACACCAAGGTCAGGCCTCGACAATTTGTTGAAGGAGACCTCGTGTGGAGAAAAACGGCTGAAGCCCGTCGAAACCGATTGTCGGGAAAATTAGCCGCGAATTGGGAAGGCCCCTTCAGGGTGGTGGAAAACTTACAAAATGGAGCATACCGCCTGGAGCACCCGACGGGAAAGGCTATACCCAATACATGGAACGCATCCCACTTAAAATTTTATTTCAGTTAAGAGCTTTGTACTTATTATTCCATATTAATAATATTATGTTTATCACACGAAATCTTCGTCATGTCTTAGCAGCCGAGCAAGTGAGGCAGATTTCTTTTGTGAAATCTCACCTTGGTCTTAGGACACGCTTCTAGAGAGCTCCTAAGACCTAAACCGAGCGGAACTCCTAGGAGGCAACCCAAGCACGAAGCGAAAGGCTATGCGCGAAAAGTTGATAAGTAAAACAGGAAAATACAAGAAATGTGTAGAAAGCAAAGACTAAAAAGGCGTATATTCATTAAGTTCAAAAGTTGTTACAAGATAAAGTTGAAACAAAAAGCAGTAAAATCCTATGTCTAACACCTAGGATTGGTCTTCCGCTTCATCGGTTTCTCCTATCACTTCTACAGCAGCGTCGACATTTTGGGCGGCCGGAGGAGAGGATGGGGGAATGTGGATTGGAACTAGCTTATTATCCACCACCATCATGCTCACATCGATGCGGGGATCGTCGGTAGGCACTTGAAAGAGAAGATTACACTGGGCGAGAGCCTTATCAAACCCGAGCAGATGCTCGTTTACCACCTCATCACCCAGAAGCTTGTTTTCTGCCTCCAACTTCGTCACCCGATCCTAGAGCGAATCCCGCTCGGCCGTCACCTTCGTGTTGGAAGAGGTGGCCTTTTGGAGGTCGAGTTTAGCATCGTCCAAAGAACGTTGCATACGGCACTGAGTAGCACGAGCCTCGACCAACAGAGTGTTGGCTTTCTTCTTGTCCTCTGCCGCTATTCGCTCAGTCTCGACCAGGCGAAGGGTCAGGTCCTGGTTAGCCTTGAAGGCGGAATCAAAAATCGCTTGAAGAGCTTGAAGCTCTGTGGAAGCGGAAGCTCTCTTTTGGGGGGCATAGGTCAAGCACATGGTCGACCGCGCAGTCAACTCTAGAGCCATGTTGGAGGCCTCTTCCTCAGTCATCCCACTGACCAGGGTCTTTTCCTCAACAAAGAGGTCAAAATGGATGCTCTTCGCCACCCATGAGTTTGGACTCAGCAGCCTTGAGAGGGGAGGCCCAACAGGTAAACCCCTCTTAGCATGCTTGGACTCAGTCGAATTCTCCCGAGCGGCCTTTCGTTTCCCCTTTTTCTTTGGGGTGGACTCGAGCGGGGGAGCCTGATCGGTAACAACCTCGATTGGGGGCAGAGGAATGGACGCCTTTTGGACTGGAAGGGAGGTGGCAGGCGCGGCAACAGTGGACGGGGCATGGGACGAGCTCCCGCCCGGTTTTCTTACTTCGCCCCCCCTCTAGGCGAACAGGCGGGTAAAGGTGCTGTTCTTTGATGGATCCATTTTGGACAGGTAATCTGCAAGGCGGAAGAAAATTCAGATAAGTTCCAAATGGCTGCTCAACAAAAGGCGGTCAAAAATAGCTTACCGAACACATTAGATGGAAGGTTCTTGTTGCCTAGAAAACTGATCAGAACACGGCAAGAGGACTTAGGGGGTAGCTGACAGAGCTGATTTATCAAGTCCAGATCCTCGGGAGTCATCCGAGGCTTGGGCCAGGAAATGACCTTCTGAGGATCTCTGGTCCAGTAGAAGGGAAACTTGGCCTCTTTGGTCGGGGAGCAGAAGCTCTGGTATCCAATTTCTCTGGGCACGACTTTAAAGAACTGCCCTTTAAAGTCTTTGTACGAGTTGTTGTAAAGGGTCAGCAGGTGTTTGTTCCCGACTGTTCGAAGGGAGACCCAAGGTTTGGACTGGTGAGGCTGCACATGAAAGAAATAAAGGAAGGCTGCAGGAGTCGGTTTAAGGGCTATGCCGGAGCAGATGGCGGAGAACGCTTGCATGAAGGCCTAACCGTTTGGATGAAGCTGCGTGGGAGCCACGTTTAGCGTTCTCAATACACCCATTTGGAAGTCAGAGAAGTGGAGGAGAACCTTCAAATCTTTGAACATAGTGACATAAACATAGAAGAAGTCGGTGGGGTAGTTCCCCCGATCATGGCAGACGCGCTCGGTCATTTGGCAGATGGCTAGTTTGAAATGCCTAGCGTCGGCAGCCGCCTTGACCAGAGAAATGTGGCCGATTAAATCCCGGAAGGGCTGGCGATGGTGAAAAGAAGAGGAAATTTGCCTAACTTCGTGAGGCACCCAGTCATAGCCGGGGACAGTTGGCCAAGCTCGGGGCTTCCCATCCCAAGCGCCGGTGGAGTCCACATGGATGGCAACTTCTTTAGGAGCATCACTGTCCACCAATAGATCGGAGGAGTTCCCTGAAGGAGAAGCCCTAGTGTCGGGACCTGTAATGGCACCCAAGGACGAAGATGGACTGGCAACGTCATCGTCGGCGTACCCCCTACCCTCGTCGCCGGAGAAGTCAAAAGACATGGTTACCTGAGAAGTTGAAGACGAGAAGGACAGAAGGGAAGCAGGGAGGAAGAAGATGCTGGCGACGGCGAGGAGACTGAAGTAAAAAATTAGGGTAAAAGTATGGGTATTTATACAAAGATAGAAACCGATTCAACTGGCACATTTGAAGCGTCAAACGCCAAGAGATATGACGGTCCAAGCGACTTGACGTTTCAGTTGTAGAAAGATCTGACGGCTCAAGCGATCTGACGTTTCGTTTTTTACATTTCCCGCCTAAAAGTTACAGTCATGACTTTACGGTTCTCGCCAGAGCAAGTGTCAGCAGGTTAAAGGCTTGGACAAAGAAAGAGGAGAGCCGAACGGAGACCGCTCCAAAACCCTGCGCAAAAAGGTATTTTTGCTAGGGCTTGGGGGACTTGTGTTACTACCGAGGGCGGAGTAACCGACCGGGTGTGTTCAGATATGTCCGATCGGGTCTCTAAAGTCTAATATGTCCGATCGGGTTTCTCAAGTCGAATATGTCCGATCGAGCGGGACTCTAAAACTGTTTGCTGGAGACAACGGTTGAATGCTCATGAATGTGTAATTAATGAGGTAACGGTCGTTGTCGAGTATTTAAGATTAGCATTGAAAGCCATTAAGAGGTAAATTAATGGGTAATATTCTCTGAAATCATATAAATAACAATCGAAGGAGAAGGTAAACTCTCTGTTTTTTACAATTACATAGACCTGTAAAGACCAATTCTGACTTGAGCGTCGGAATGTTTCCTGCAGGTCACCCCACTTATACTGAGAACGAGCGTAAGGAAGGCGAAAGACTAAAAACCGATCGGTAGAGGAAGAGTGTTTCTGAGCGGAGGCAGCAGGAGTTTTTCCCGGTCCCATTCAGCAGAAACAAATATTAAATTTTACCAATTTTTAATAACCCGTGATATCTTAAAATTTGGAGCGTTTCAGCTATCGAAACAACAAACCACCAAACAGATGTAAGGTAACATGACCATGCCAAAGGTGGTGGAGGAAAGGAGAAAGCATCAGAGAGAGAACAAAGAGAGAAAGGAGAAAAATACTAAGGAGAAAAATCAGAGAGAGAACAAAGAGAAGATGAGGAGAGTTCAAACCTTTTTGCAACAGTGAAATGGGAGAAACCACAAAACCTTTTCGACCTAATTTCTCCTTCCACATCCCTAATTTTGGTTTTAAAAATAATTTTGAAACGAAACAATGACATTATCAAAAATTTATTGTTAAATATCACGATCCAACCATATATTATTGACAAAATTTGTAGTACTTTTCAACCTAATAAAAAGCTATTTAGAATAAAATTTTCAAATCCTATTAGAATGTTAAAAAAGAGATTCAATATAAGTTAGAAAAATACTATGAATAATTTGCATTACAAAAGTCTCTTCAATAAATTGTTTTAGACAACCATACATCAACAGCAAGTTTAGAATTGCTGAAACAAAATTTTTATGTAAAAAAAAAAGTTTGGTATGTCAAGAACATGATTATGAAATTATATATTTCAATAGATCATTAACTGTAAAAATAAAGTATTTCAGTGATTTTGTGATGAAAAGTTACTACTAGGTGATCAAAATTTTAGAACAAAATTTTTAAAATTTGCATATAATATATTTCAGCACTTAATTTTCTATAGGATAATAAATTTGATGACCTTTTTCTTTTTACCTAAATTCAAACAAAATCATAAATAACCTGTTAACAAGTATACATCAACGTTTTAAAACCAAGATTGAATTATACATTAATTGTGTTAATTAACCAAAGTCAAAATTTTCACCATTTGTTTATTTTAACTATAAACATGAACACTAGAAGTTGATGTTCAACTTGTTTCGGTATCATCGTTTTTTTTGTTTGTGTCTAGTTCAGTTTCAGTTTGCCCATCTGTATCAGCAACCTTCGCATTTTTCACCTTTGATACACGAAACATAGCTAAATGGGTGTCTCCTGTAAATGTTAATAACAATTAGGTCTCAAAATTCATATAAAATATAAGATGAGGACACAAATAAGCAATTTATCATTTTGAAACATGGTAAGATTTGTAATGACAGACAAAATATGCTACGATGTCTAATTTTTGGATTTGAATAATGATTTTTCTTTTAAAAAACTCATGTATCTTTATATATTAAGATTAAACATGTTTTAATCTTTAAACATAAAGTTAAAATTCGTCTTTTCTTCAAAATTTTAAAATATTTTAGTTTTTAATAAATATAGTTATTTTGTCTAATAATATTAATTTTTTTGTATTAAATAGTATTTCGGATTGATAATTGAGTTAAAATATAATAAATTATATAAACAGTCAAATGTCATCATAAACCATTATTTAATACATAAAAAAATTAGCTTCATTATATTAAAACAATTATATTAATTTAACTTTTTAAGTTTGAAAATTAAAATATATAAAAATTTAGAAACAAATTCTAATTTTAAATTAAAATTTAAAAATTACAAACATATTAAATTTATTGCATTTCATTAACATCCTAAATATTATTAAAATATAATAAAAAATTGTGAAAAATTAGAAGTTTGTAAAAGTTACCAAATGTAATAGAACTCCCAGGTGATAGAGTTGCAGCTACTCCAGGTCTCAGACGTTTGTCATTAATGAATGTCCCATTAGTGCTATCCAAATCTGTGACAAGAAGATTACCTTCTTTCTTCTGAATCCGTGCATGCACACCGGACACTGCAAATATCATATAACCTTTTAAATTCCAAACATCCTTTATAATATTTTATTTCCATACCTTAAAAATTCAATTATCAAATCCTTGGGACCTGTAACTTCAGATATCCATAGACAAAAGTTAAATCAAGTCTTTTGAAATCTTTGGACTTTATACTCAAAAAATAGTACAATCTCTTATTTTGAGATCTTGTACCAAACAAGATATTTTATGTCTGAAGAATTATGTGACATCCACAATCTTTATGAATCCTCACATTACTTATTACTATACTTCAGGTACATTAGCTGATTAGGATTTCAAAGAGTTTTAAAAGATTTGTGAATAAAAGGTTTTATGATATTCAATGAAAACGATATAACATGTCTAGTGTCATTAAATTAGGACAATTATGATCTTTTAAGGAGGACAACAATTTTAGGTGTATTAAATTGAGATTTCAGAAGATTTTAAAAAAACATTTTATTTTGGTATTCAACGAAAATTTTAAAGGGGACAATGAAAGTCGGTCATATAAGTAGATATTTTTCTACTATTTATAAGAAATATGTTGGTGGTATTCATTTTCAAAAGGTATAAAAAGATTTCACGAGACTTTTTAGTAGAATGAAAAAAATTTATTATTAAACAATCTTTTTCAAACCTTGAGACTTTTTCTTTATCTATCTCATATGGTAAGTTCTCAAATACTTGGCATTTTCTTCACCAACGATGTTGGTGCAATGAATTTCCATCGAAAGACTTTTTTTTCTTATTGCTTCTATGTCAAACTTTTCTTTCTCTCATCACACATTATCTTTTTTTCTCTTTGTAGAGTACTTTATAACTTTGTTCACAAAGAATAATAAATGTTCAACTAAATGAATAGACAAATATCTTCTTCAGTATTATCATATAACTTGCTAGACAAAGAAAATCATAATTTTGAACAAAATTTATAACCGATTGAAGAGAGTCAATGGGACGAACAAGAAAGTTTATGCGTAGACAACTAAATAAGATATGAAGTTAAAATCAATTGCTAATTAATCATTAACAGATTGAAAAACTTGTAATGGATTTATATATTTTTCCAACCTTATTACTTTCTGAAATGGAACACTATACCTGTTGCAACTGGAATTACTAGATCAGCTTTGTCTGGTACACGTCCAACAGTCACCTCACTCTACATATTCAAAAGCCAGTTATTCAGAAATATACTAGGCCACACAATATTATTGATCATAAAATTACTTACAGAAGCAATTTCATATACACCTGGCATCTCAACCTTGTACCCTATGTGCCTTGTATCACCATCTCCTATCAAATAACATTCATTATGTTTCCAATGTAATAAAAAGCCTTGTTAATCTTGACAAAAAGAAAATCATATTAAAACAAATACTTAAAGTGGTGGACCTTTGGGCCTCTTACCTTAAACCTCACAGATTCCTATTTTGGACTGCTAGCCCCATCAAAATCTTAAGTTAAACCATTTATTTCTTATTTAATGCTTAACTTGAAAGGTTTGAGATCAAAGAAGAAGCAAAGATTGTTATATTGACTAGTCTTTCCGAGGCAAAAAGATTGGTGGACCATTCGTTAGCCTTCAAGCAGTCATGGAAGCTTAGAACATTCCAGAATATTAAATGTCCATGTATCAAACTAGCAATATACAAAAAAGATAAAAGAAAAACCTAAGAAACAAAATTCATTAGAATCCTAATTTTTTTCTTTATTGTATGGAATATACACATCAATATTCATGGATCATACCTTTTATTCCATTCCCAGTCGAAAAAAATTCGCCGTATTTGGGCTTTTCCTAGTATCTTATTGTTAACTATAGTTGCAATAGAGTATAAAGAATGAGTGTTCAACAAGACATATACTAGCACTGACTTCGAGAAAAAAAATGCAGATTATTTTATACTACAAGTCACACATTTTAGGTGACTTTGATCCACCACACAAAGTGACAAGCAATAGAAGGAGATTTAAATCAAAGGATTTAAGCTGGGTGGATGAAATCAAGGGATGGTTTTGGTGTTATTGGAGATGGAAAGGTGTCTCTTAAGCTAAAAGAAAAATTTTACTCCATATGACAAGTGATGATGCTTATTATGGTAATGAATGTCGAGAAATAAAGGGCTGGCATGAGAGTAATATAGTAAGGGTGGGTTGCAAAGATGATAATGTCATCTTAAATAAGTGATCAGACCAGAAAAAAAAGTGTGAGGAATTAAGTGTGGAGTTGAAAGTCTCACATCAAGTGAAGATGGCTAAGATGAGCAATATATAAAGAGAAAACTCACAATATTAATGTCTTAATGTTTTGGGTTTTAGGTGCCCTTAGGTCTCTTTTCTGGGTTAAATTCAGACACATGTAAAGGAGAAAAAGAGCATGACAAAAGAAGGTACACGAAATATTCTCTTCTATCTTGCATATCCCAACAGGGAAAATATATATACAAAGTGAAAAACCATTTTGGATAGGGATCAGCCAGGATAACATAAACGACAAAATAAGCAAATACAACTAAAACATTCTAGAACCTACTAATATTTAAAGCAAACATAACAATATAACAGATTGGACTGAGTCAAGAGTGTGCTGAAGAATGAGGAATAGATTAGGCCAAGAAAGTGTTAGGCTTCTTCTGTTTTAACATAAATCCAAATCTCTTTGGTTATGCAGTTTTTAGTTTTTCTTTTTTTACAAATTAGAGTATGAATAAATTAATTTTAGCTCGTGAAGAAGCTAATTTGAAGTTTTTTCTTATTTTTTCTTCCTAAAAGAATTTATGGAAAAATTCATCCAACCAAATCCATAATCATGTAATTTTTAACTTTAGTGACACATAATTCTCTTTTCTGAAATAAAAGTGGGATCTCTATCTTAGTTTTTTTGTTTTGTTTTGTTTAGTTTTGAAAGCAGTAAGCAACTAATAGAAGAGCGTTTTCTAACAAAATAACCAACTAAGGTCTACTAACAAGAAAAAAAAAACTACAGAAACTTTGACACTGCACAACCACAAGACTAATGACGCTATATTGTATTAAATATTGGAGAACACAAGAGCATATGATAAAGGCTGCTAAGTGCATTGATGAGTGATAAAGGTTTATTGGTATCTAACATTTGAGAAGATAGTAGAATTGAGCCCAAGATTGTTTGGGCATTAGAGAAAAAGATTAACAGAATCCAGTTGAAAGAGTTGATCAAACAGAGGATATCCCAATAGTTAGAGAAAAAGGTGGATTAGAACCAAAATAGATTCAAAATGAAACTGATGAAAAGGCTCTATGATAAAATGGATTCTTTGAAGAATTGGTTTAGTACAGAACATAATATTTAGCCATCTCCACCAAGTGGCAAATGCTTTGCTGCTGTTGTAACTTACATTTTCCAAACTAATTTCTCAATTTTTCTGAAGAAAAATCATGCATAACTGTGATGGATCTTACAAAATACCATGTTCAAACAATTCATTTGTATTTTAACAGGTCTCAGATGACAAAGTTACCCTCTCCCTAGTTAAAGAAACTAAAACAAACAAAAAGAAAACCCTCCCAAACAAATAAAACTATGGTCCAATGTCCTTTAAATAATATCATCTGTCTTCAAAATTTCAAATGTGAGCACTATACCAAATGTGAGAACTATTTACTAGGCAAATCTCAAAGTTGTTCTGGCAGGGAATTCCCAATTTTCCCACAGGATTTTCAATCATCTATTGAAGGGTGTCACCACCTTTTTTGACAAATTATATAACTCCTCTAATATTGAATAACCTGTAAGAAACGTAAAGGAATCCTGGGATAAAATTCTAACATGAATTTCTTTGTTTCATATTGAAACCTTTAGGAATTAGTAACAGGTGCTCATCAGTCATCAAGGGTGTGCATGCTGCATCCTAGATTGGGTACATAATTATAAAACATCTCATAATATAGACCAGTACAATTCCCCACCACCCCTACATAAAAAGGGTTCATATCAATAAAAATAAACACCAATTTTCCATGTTCAAGTACACTCTCCTATGATCCTATCTGCATAACTCCAAGCACATTGTATGCAAGATTTTTAGTTTATAGAAAACAGAAAATTGTAGAGGGATTATTTAAAGCTCTAGTTTGTAGAAAGGGTTCTATAGAGGAGAAAGATGTAACTGACCAACTGGTTCAAGAAGCCATCTTTCTGCATTATTGGCATTTGTTGTAGGGGTTGTTGTTGAGGATGCAGCCTCTGATGCATGTACAACTCCAAGGTTCTGCTTTTCTTTTGCTATGGATCTAACACCAGATTGTGGATGCAACAGAAAGCACTTGGGCAAATGATGGTGGGTTACTGAACTGAAAGCAACTGAGGTGGGTTTGCAGTGAAGCGAGAGTGGTGAATTCCACAAAGTTTGAGACTTTGGGAATTTTGCAAGGGAGAGAGAAGGTACAAATATGATTTCCATTTGAGCTAGAGTTGTTAGACAGTGCGAGAGAAAAGTAGCTGATGTTTGCTCATATGGGTTGGCTTGGAGGTCCTGGTGACGAAGGATAAACCTGAAAGGTGATCTCGGTGTGACTAATGGGAAATGGGGTGTGTAGCATGTGGCAGTCATTTAATGCTTTACACAACAAGAAATTGGATAAATATATGATCTTTTAATGTTATGTTTTTTATTTCATATTTTATACTGATTGATTTTTAATTGTTAAATTGGTGATGAAAAATAGACATCTGCACCACATAATTTCTTTGCACACCCGCTCAAATTTCAAAATAGCATTTTGCCCTTCATAAAGTGACTTCTAAAATCTTTCAAAAACTTTTAAAAACAAGTTTTCCAAAATTTTCCGAATAAAATTTTTGGAAATAAAATTTTCTGAACAAAATTTTTGAAATATCTACATTATAAAAATGTATTTTGGAATAACCTTTCTGAAATAAAATTTCTAAAATAAACTTTTTGGAATATATATATATATATATATATATCTTTTGAACACTCTACATGAAATCTATTTTCGAAATACATAAAATGTGTTCTGAACAGAATATTCTCTCTCATTATATTTTGCAACATTATCTCTCTTCTTCTTTCTCTGCAGCGGCTTGTTACTAGCAAGGACAATAATTTGTGGCGAAAGTATTTGAATCTTTTTATATTATTGTGAGGGTGCAGATAATAAATGTGAGATTGTCTAAAGCAATAGTCAAAAGTAAGACTGATGCATGTTAAATAAGTTTAGTTTGTTCTACTCTTTTATTTTATGACTTTCAGAAAATTAAAAAATAAATCTAAAACTATATATATAATTTATTTCAATTAATATTAATTTTTAGATCCAAATAATTTATAGATAAAGTTGAAATAGGTTGTGCAAGTTAAGTCTTCTGTCTAGGTTAAGTCTAGGTAAAGTTCAGTTTGAGTTAGATTTACTCATGTTTGAGTTAGATTTATTCCATGCTAGGTTAGTTAACTTGAATTGCAAGTTTACTCGAATTGAAGAATCAAGATGAGTTGGCCTGAACCGAAGGTCGAAGCAAGTTGTCCCGCTGAAGATCAAGTTAAGCTGGTATCAGATAAAGGTTGAGTGGAATAGGCTTAAGTTGAAGGTTGAGGCAAGTCGATTTGGTTAAAGGTTAAAGTGAGTCGAATCGGGTTCAAGGTCAAGTTGAGTTGACTTGGACTGAAGGTCGAGATGAGTTGGTTCGAACTGAAGGTTAAACCAAGTTAGAATAAATTGAAGGTCAAGTCAAGTTTGGTTGGTTTGAAAGGGTTGAAGGTTGAGGTGCTTTAGCTTGAGGTTCAAGATTTACGAAAGTCGATTGAGGATGAAGGTCATGGCAGAGTTAATTGGACCTTTGGCACGATTCGACTCGGCTCAACCTTTAGTTCGAGCTTAAGGTCATATATTTAGGAGTTAATTAAAATCTTATAACAAAAACTCATTTTGGCTCTAACCCTAACCCACTTTAAAAAGGGGTTAAGGCTTTTCGAGACCCCTCAATTGATGGTCACATAAAATAGGTACTTATTTAGGAGTGAATTGGAATTTACCTAAGGGTCATTGGTCAAATTAATACCACTACTCAAAGGTCATTGATAACGGTTGAAAATATGATTATCTGTGATATAATTTTGATACTAAACGAACCATTTTTGACTTAGAAGCTTGCTTGAATTCGTGTTTTTACTTTTAGTTTTGTGAATAAGTGAGTATAAGTTATACTGTATGATTTTATCACTAAATTCCCTTTATTTTGTAGCTAATAATGTGCTTGGAAGAATCTCCAACAATATATAGAGCTGTATAGAGCTAAATCAGCCAAAAAAAACAAGCAAAACAGCAAAAAAAGTGAGTTTTGGAATGTTACCGCCAGGGCTGAGCGCCCCTGAGCGCCAGTTTTCTTCCCGCACCATGGCTGGGCGCCCTTCCAGGGGCACTGAGCGCCAGTTTTGACTCGTACCACGCCTAGGCGCCTCACTTAGGGCGCTGAGCGTCAGCGAAGTGGGCTTGGACCTGTTTTTTGTTATTTTTTAGTTCTATTTAAGGACTTGGACGTCCTAGGGACTATATCTTTTGATGGCTTGAGCACAGAAACACACTTTTCACCCCTTTGGGGTAGATTTGGGGATGTGACAGCTCTCCTCTTCTCTTTCTAGGGTTTTTCTATCTCTTTCATTATTTCATTGTTCATCTAGTTTCTCCATGATGATGGGGAACTAAACCTTATTTGTTGTTGGGGAAAGATGTAACCTCTTAAATTCTCATGTATTTTGAATTGATTCTTAATTATTTATGCTTCTTTCATTAATTGTTAGGGTAATTCTTCTTCACTCAATGCTTGCTTTGTTTAACTCATTCATTAGCATGATGTATGATTTGCATGAGTACCGAAAGGTATCTTACAATTCAGGTTCTGGAGAATTATTCCCAGAAGCAGTATTGCTCAGGAATGGGGGTATGAGTTTTGGTTGTCTTAAGCTTCTGTTCATAAGAATTAATTATTAGGGGTGATGAAAGACATTATGACCTATAATTAAGGATAGGTTTTCTTCGTCGAGGAATCGGGTTTTAAGTACTTTAGATAGTGACATTGACATTAATGAAGAAGTAGAATTCGTATATGCATGAGAGGAAACTTGGTGAAATCTAAACCCCAACAACATACTCATCTCATATTTTAAACTTCATCCATTCATCTATGTGTTTAGCCTCAATTGATCAAATTGCATTCATGTTTATTTTTATTGCATTTGCATTGAAAACCCCCAAAAAATTTTCGTAAGTCTTAATTGGTTAAGCAATTATATAACTATTTAGTGTCGTGAGTCCTTTGGGATACGATACTTGGTCTTACCATTTTATATTACTTGATACAATTTGGTACACTTGTCGAAGTCTTAACAGTCATCCTATCGAATTTTTAAGCATTAAAATACATCTTAAATTTGGATGCAATCATAAGATATTTCTAACATATCATAAGCTTCGAAAATTCACATATTTTCAAATCCAACACATAAAAAGAATTTTAGAATTGCAAAAGATACTAAAACAATTTTAATTTATTGATTAATCTAAAAATGTATTATCTTTTATTTAGTCCTTGCATTTGTACTTACTTTTAAAATACAAGCATTTGAGCATTGAAATACTTCTTAAATTCGAATGATTATTGTATCATATACATTGAAGTATTGTTTGGCCATGACCGTATATAATCTAATCCTAGCTGAATACATTGTCAGCCTACTAGGTTGACATATACTCAGTCCACACCTACTCACCCAAGATGAGGTCATACCAATTGCATTATCAGTCACATTAATTTGTAAGTTATACCCATCCAGGTAAACGCCCATGAACAATAAGTATAAATAGAACATTTTACGAGGTACATTAATTACATTCATTTATTATTGCATTGATTATCTTTTAATGCACTAAGTTAACTTGGTGTCAGAGTGTCTTTTATAGGCACAACCCATGTTCAGCTAAGAGAGGGTGAGTACTCTTAAAGAAGACAAATACTCCTGAAGTTGAAGGCTTGAAGCGCTTGGAGTGTTTGTTGAAAGTCTTCGCATGATATATTTAGCTCTATAAGAACAATTAGAGCCTATCGTGGGATCAACTTATATTTTGTCAAGAGAAAATTTTATGGTGCCTATGAGAACTTGAGAGAGTTAAGCATGACCCTCCTCGACCGACATAGTTACTTTCTTATAAGCCTGGGCAAAACTTCAGCAGGAGTTTGTTGAGTTCAAGAAAATGAGCATTGAAGAAATGAATGCCTTGAGGAAGGTGAACACTAGGCTGAAAATGTAACACCTCAATTCCAGGAGTCACTAAAACACCCTAAAATTAAACGTTTTTGTAACATTATCCAAATCCTAAAAAAATAAATTGAATACATTTAATAAATTTCAAATGTTAATTAAACTTTTACCAAACCAAATACTAAAATTCAATTGTACCGAATATATAAATTCTTGAATTTCTTTTCCAAAGCGAAACTATAATTCATATGAAACCCGAGATAACATTTTCCTTCTCTCAACCGTCTACTCAGTACCTGCAAGATCTCCATCTACTCCCGTATAACACAAACATTATACGATCATCACCACACACACAAAATTATTGGTGAGATAACCGAATAAACATCAAAACAACAATGCAACATTTATATCTCAATCATTAAGTCTTTACCACGATCTTATCACAACAAATAACATCAATACATAGTAAGACTATAACCAGTAATGCAATAATGATAACGGTAAATCTTAACATTATCTGTGGTGCATTTTTTTTACCAAATCAACTCTCTTTAGCTTGAAGCTTGCTTAATCCTCTCTTTTCTCTGACTTTTGTGAATAAATTTAGTCTAGGTCACACTTAATGGTTTTCATCACTAATTCCCTCACTTTGTAGGCAATTTATGTGCATTGGAAGAGCATCAAAATCATCAAGGAATTGGAACCCAAGAAAAGCAGTAAAAGCATCAAAATATAAGGCAATGAAGGCAAATTTTCATGCCTCCGCGCCCCTCTAGAGGCGCTTAGCGCCATTTGCCTCACAGTTTCCATGCCTGGGCGCCCTAGCTAGGGCGTTGAGCGTCATTCCTTGCGCAAGTCTGGCGCATGCGCGCCCTATTCAAGGTGTTGAGTGTCATCTATTGCGTAACTCTCGCGCCTGGGCACCCTTTTGTTTGGGCGTTGAGCGTGACACTTGCTGATGTGGTACCCTATTTTTAATGTTACCATGCAATGAGTGTATCATCTTTTGGCGGCTGAAGCACAAAACTTAGACTTTTGGAGCTCTTGGAGAAAGCTTGGGTGTGTGGGAGCTCTTCCTTCTTCTTCCTTGGGTCTCCATTGCTTCCCATTTCCTCCATTTCTTCCACTGTAAGCTCAAGCTCTCCATGACAATGGAGAGCTAACTTCTTTTTTGTTGGAGAAGGATGTAACCTCTGAACTTCATGTATATGAACATGTTTTGAATATATTAAGCTTCTTTCATTGAATTTTAGTAGTTTTCTCCTATTCTTAATGCTTGTTATGTTTTTGACCATTCATAACTTGATTTTTGGGGTTTATTTGATATTAGAAAATAACTTATGAACCTTGACTTGGATTAAACTACCTAAAGGAAATAGTATCTAGGAATAGAGCTAGGACCTTTAGTTATCATAAACTTCTTTTCTTAATACGGAAGTGATTATTAGGGTTTTCAAGAAATTGAAGTCTAATAACCAAGTCTAGGCTCTTTATTCTAAGGAATTGGGTTTTGAGTAATTTAGTAAGTTGATATTATCATTTAAATGAAGATGATGAGTTCTAATATACATGAAAGTGAAGTAGGTGACATCTAACCCCAACATTACCAACTCATATCATCTTTAATCTCATTCATTTACTCTTGTTTTAGCTACAAAAGATCATTTTACATCTGAAGCGTTATGTTTAATTTTATTGCACTTAAATCTCACTCAATGAAATCATTCTTTAGTCTTAATTAGTTTAATAATCATAAGATCGTTTAGTGTCACACGAGTCTCTTGGAAAACGATATATGGTCTTACTAGTTTATTACTTGATACGATTCGGTACGCTGGTCGATGTCTTAACAAATAACAAACCATATATTCCCTTAAAAGGAATCATGATCAACCCATTAACTCTATACAACCGATCCATTAAAGGCAACTCATGCCAATACCAATTATAATATCCGAGAAAATAGGAGTTTTAAAAATAAAATAGTTTTGAGACTTTGAGTTTTTGTTTTGAAAATTAGTGTTCTTAAGTGTATATTTTTGTTAGAACATAATTCTTATGTTATTTCTTTAATTTTATTTATATTTTTTCCTAGGAGTAAAAGAGTCTTTTACCTTTTATTAATTAGGTGCAAGAAATTAAAATAGGGGGTATAGAAAGGAAAAACATGCAAATTAAGTAAAATGAAAAATTAATAGGAGATTTAATCTTCGTGGGTTTAAAGATCAAAAGAGATATTATTATTAGAAAGGCTTAATACTCTATTTTGTCCCCAATTTCGCTCGACAATGTCAAATTAGTCCATCCTTTAAAACGTGCGTCAATTACGTCCTTACTTAATAAAATTTATATCAATGAAATCCCTTCCGTTAAATTCGTACAAACGGTTTTAATAGAAGAGAGAGAAAAATAATTAACACCGTTTGTACGGATTTAACGGAAGGACGTAATTGACGCACGTTTTAAAAGATGAACTAATTTGACATTGTCGAGCGAAACTGGGGACAAAATAGGGTATTATGCCTATTAGAAAAAACCATTACTAGATATTGTTAGATATTTTAAAAGATATTTTAAAAGATATTTTTAGATATTGTTAATTAAAAGATATCTTAAGATATTATTGGATGTAATTAGATATTATACAATAATAATAATAATATATTATTGATAGACTTATTATAATAAATTAGAAAAAAATATATTATTATAAGTAAAAAAATATTAGAGATATAATTGTGTTGATTTATTAATATTAAAATATAGGTTTAAACCCTCGGTTGGTCCTCGTATTTATATGGAAATCTCAAATGGGTCATCGTTTTTTTTTTTGTCTCAATTGGGTCATATTTTTTGTAAAAATGAGCCAATTTTACCCTAACCGTTAAATGCTTTCAGACGGCGTTAAGTTTAGCTGAACTGTATTTTATATTTTGATGGCGTGGCATTGTTCATTAAAATTGAATGGCTTATGTGTTTTAAAATTGTTCACGTCACATCTCAAATCAACTTCTTCTTCTGTCTCACCACTTTCTCTCTCTCCCATCTCTTCCAACGCTCAAAAGCTGCAATCTTTCTTTGTTTTTTCCTCTTCTACTTCATCTTTCAACTTTTCCAGTCCTTTTCCATTGTTTTCCATTCTGCAATGACACCACACTGCAACAAAACCATTTTGATATCAAAACAACAAAACCCAATTAAAACCCAAAATTCACGAGACATAAAAAACATTGTTATCTTTTTGAGAAAAATTGAAATTGGAATTGAATGGATTTGGAAACTACAGAGGCGCGAGAATGGCAGTTAGATCAAGACTGAAATTTCACAATTTTAGCTCAACTTGCCAGTCAAAGGGAAAAACTTCAGATTTCCTTATGATAAAAAACCCTGAAATTTCTCTCAAAGTTTTTCTTTTTAATCTGTGGCGCCACGTTTATAGGCGAGACGATGCTAGGGCTCCTTCACAAGCAACCCTCTGATCAAATCTCTGGCAGCAAAGCTAACGGTTGGAGATTCTGGAAATCTTAGAGGCTCACCAATTACATTGAACAAAGTTGCACGGTTTGCAGGACCTTTGAATGGTGTTCTACCAAACAGAAGCTCATACAGGAATATGCCAAATGTCCACCAGTCCACAACACTTCCATGCCCTTCACCCTTGATGATCTCTGGGGCCAAGTACTCGTGTGTTCCAACAAAGGACATTGATCTTGCATTTGTTGGCTCGACAATTAGCTCAGGAAGAGGGGTCACCTGGTTGTGCACATCATTCTTTGGTTTAGACCTTTTGTCTTTCTTGGATTTTCTGGATAGAAAGCGCAGTGTGAAGCACGCAGTGTGAAGCGCATAAACGGCGGAATCCTTGTGCGTCCACGGGAGGAGTCTGCATCAGTGATTGGAGGAAGAAGAAGCACTGTAGCCACGGAGATCATTCAATTAAATTCAATTAAATGCATAATGCCACATCATCAAAGCAAAATATACAGCTCAACCTAATTTAACGCCGTTTGGAACAACTTAACGGTTAGGGTAAAATTGGCTCATTTTTACAAAAAATATGACCCAATTGAGACCGAAAAAAAAACGATGACCCTTTTGAGATTTCCATATATATACGAGGACCAACCGAGGGTTTAAACCTAAAATATAATTGTGTTGATTTAAAATAAAAACTAATATTAACTAATTTTTATTCACTTTCTCAACATTTTCCTAACCCAATAACATACCATAAATACTTATTTAATACCATGAAATACAATAACAAAATAAAAAGTTACTTTTATACGGATCTTACATTCTTTCCAATTCCAAAAAATTTTGTCCTCAAAAATTAAGCTACTACTCGAACAAGTGAGGGTATTCCTTCCGCAAGTATTATTCTAACTGCCCAGCTTGGGTTTCCTTATTCCAAAGCATTATCATTGTGCGAATCACTTTTCCTCGCAACTTCTTCATCTGAACATCTAATACTCTTACTGGTCCACTTCAACAGTGAGATCTTCACGAACTTGTATGTCGTCTAACTCCAACACATGAGTTGGATCAAGGACATGTTTCCTCAATTATGACACAGGGAACACATTTTACAGGTTCGCCAATTACGGTGGTAACGCTATCTTGTAAACTACTAGTCCAATCCGCCTAAGAAGCTCATAGGGGTCGAGAAACTTAGGTGACAACTTCCTTAACTTGATAGCATTATCCACTTATATACCAAGAGTGGTAAAACTCAAACTAGTCAAGATTAAGTAGAGGAACCAAGAATGGTTTATAATATTTGGAAACCAAGAGTGATTAATAATACTCATTGTATACCAGGAATGGTTTATAATCTTTGAAAAAAATTAGTAAAACCCCTTAAGAGATCTTAAGGAAAGTTGAATGTAACTCAAGTTGAGTAATTCAGTATAAAAATATTTGTGTTATTGTTTCCTAGTTTAAAATGTTTTCTTAAAACACTTTATTAGAAACACACACCTAACTACTATAAGAGATCATCCAACCCTGCAATAGTTAATAAGCATTGATTTGCAAAAGAATCTAAAAGCACTATTTATACCCCTTTTCTAATAAAGTTAATAAGCATTCATTTGCAAAAGAATCTAAAAACACTATTTATACCCTTTTTATAGTGTTTTTCTTACTTTTCATACCTTCATCCCTCATTCTTCCTGTAAGCCTCCGTCGCACCTCAAATTCAACCTTAAGTGGCGTTTCCAACCATAGCATCAATTTCCACAATGTTGCAATAAGAAAGTTGAGGCAGAAATCACAAACAAGAAAAGAAAAGGAACATGTACCACTCCACGAACGCAATTTCCAACAATCGCCAACCGTCAGGGTTGAATGGAATAACTCCCACATCAAATGCATTTCCAAAATCCTAAATCCCCACCAACCTTCGTAACCGCTATCTATCTCCGTAATCACTACCACCAAACTCATTACCTTTAAACCCACCTCTAAAGAAAGAGTTCCAATGAAGAAAAAAAGAAAAAAGATTTGCAGTAAGGAGAGAAAGAAAGTTGTAGGAAAGAAGAAAGACTCTAAAAGCGATAACTAGCATTTATTACCAAAGACACTTTACATATAAAATGTAAAGACGAAATCAACATATACATTGAAGCGGAGACGAAATATGATTTTAGCCAATAGTTTAGAAACTTCAAAACATATTTAACCTTATTGATTATAATACATTATATTATTATATTATATTAATAGTTAATATTGTATTAAAAAGCCTAATCTTTTAATATGATTTACTTACACTACGACAGTAGTTGCCGCTGCTCTACGGTAAGGTGTAATATAACCTTAACTAACAAACAGGAGAAAATTTTGTGAAAATTACAATAAGAAAAACACTGGTTAAAAAGATTATTTTTTAAATTTAGTTATTTAAACAGGCTCTAACCAGATGACATAAATTGCCACATATAAGACAGCTGGGGAATGTTTTCCATTTTGGTAAAAAATAAACTAATTGATTATTTAAAAAAATATTGACATGTATGCATTACTCAAGGGCAGTAATATGGTAAAAAAAAAAGGCAGTGTTTAGAGATTAGTCTTGTGAAGGATGTGGCTCTCTCACACATATATTTGGATCTGGCAATAACCTCTGGCCAAGTGGCTTCAACCTTCTTCTGGACCAGTACCTTACAAAGGAATTCTCTAGCTTCCTCACCTATCATCAAAATTATTAAGGGAATGTTATTTCTTTTTTCAAATTGATTAATAATAATCAAACATAAGAAATTAATTAATATTCATGAATAAAATTTGTCTAATGTTTAGCCAGCATTGTCAAACAGAATTCACACACCCATCATTCGAATGGTATTAAAACATCAAAGCATGTCAGAAAGCAGATAACATATACAAGTAACTACACGTTGATCAGGTCAAAGATCATGATACATGATAGATAGATCTCAAAGAATGAGAGAAGTTTCATAGAGATAAGTAACACATTGAGTAATTGATTTGAATATTGACAAAAGATACAATAATAGTGGTTAAGTGCTTTATTTATGGAGCTTATTTCTATCGAACAAGTTACTCTTAACAAGCTATATAAAAGATCTATAGAGACTTTTCACACCAACACAACCCATAGCAGAAAGAATCTTTAAGCCATGATACCATGAATTCCCCATTGGCACAAAGAATCATGCCAGAGATGTATAACAGTTCCATTAAAAATGAGTTGAGTTAGATTACTTGGTCACACTCAAGCTTTTCTAAGAATTTACTACTACAGTGCTTTTGATGCAGATGAGTCATTCCACACAATTTTTGTGGAAAATATATTTTCTTAGTTTTACTAGAATCTCATAAGTTGACTATACAAGAGGTACGGGAGCTTTTAAGCTTGAAGATTTTATCTCTGCTATATTTCTCTTTCGTTATAGGATCTGTCAAACAGAACTTCTCATTTCTCTTCCATTAATGAACAATTAATTCCACTAATCAAGAAAAATTAATCACAACAAACAATTCTTGCACCCAGAATGTAAAATGAAAAGCATACCTGTTTAACAATAAATGGCTCCTCAGCAAGACTCAATGGCTCTGTCAAAATAGTTAGAAACCCATTCCGATTGCCATAAACAATGTCAGTGAATGGCCGATCACCCACCTACCACAGATATTATGCTTTAACTTTTAACATAAATCTGAATCAAACTACAAAAAAGTAGCTGATAGAAGGTGGACACTACAGAATTCTTATCTACCATAATTAATCGCGAAGCTTCACAACCAAAATGCTTTTCAGTTTCTTCAGCTGTACCGCCTGGCTTCTTCACCCCTGAAGCATTCACTTGACAGGATTAATATGTAAGAAAGAATATTTTTATTCAAGTTGATTCTTTGAAACAGTACATCAGTCTCTATACAGAGAACTCTAACCCTAAAATAATAATTACAAAGTGATCTCTAGAATCTTCTAACAACTTCTATTAGCTTCTAGTAATGCATTTAATATTCTACCAACCTCTAGTAATGCATTTAATATCCTACTAACAACACTTTTCCTCAAACTGGTGAATGGATATCTATCATTCCCAACTTGCATGTGAAATCATGAAATTGTTCAGTGGAAAGACAAATCTGCTAGCTGAAGCACAGATGGACGTATGAAGTAGTGATAAGGCCACTATCCAATTTCTCTTTAATAAAGTGGCAGATCTATCTCTATGTGTTTGGTCTTACCACGCTGAACTAGATTGTAAGCAATTCTAATAGTTGACTTATTATCACAATAAAGAATTGTAAGATAATTCTTCACATGCCACTTTAAGATAATTCTTAGCCACAATAATTCACACACCCATTGTGCCATAGCTCGAAACTTAGCCTCTGCACTAGACCTTGCAACAACATTTTGTTTCTTACTTCTCTAAGTCACCAAATTTCCACCCAAGAACATGCAATATCCTATGGTAGACTTCCTATTTGTGACAAATGTACATGCTTCAATTTTTCATTTTTCATTTCTCTTGAACAATAATCCCCTTCCTAGACTTGTCTTCAAATATTGAAGGATGTTGTTTACAGCTTCTAAATGTCTTTCCTTTGGATCATGGATGAAATAACTAATGACACTCACAATATAGGCTACGTTTGGTATGGTGTGAGCTAAGTTAATGAGCTTCCTAACAAGTCTTTGATATTGGCCTTTATTCACAATAGTGCCTTCATCACTACAAATTTTATGGTTTTGTTCTATAGGAACTCCAGTGGTCTTGCAATCAATCATACTTTTTTCTTTGAGAAGATCAATAACGTACTTTCTTTGGGATATAAAGATGTCGTTCTTTGAGTAAGCTACTTCTATCCCAAGGAAGTACTTCAACCTTCCTAGATCCTTCACTTCAAATTGAGTGACAAGCTTTTCTTTCAAGATTTGTTTCTCATGTTCATCATCTCTTGCAACAATCATATCGTCAACATAAACCAAGAGTAGTGGAAATCTACCTTTTGGGGATGGCTTGATGAACAATATATGGTCACCTTGACTTTGTCGATACCCCATGGAGATCATAACTTGAGTGAGTTAACCAAACCAAGCATGAGGTGACTGCTTGAGTTCATACAAGGCTTTTTTCAACCTACATACTTTATTCCCCCCTCTTCAATATGCCTAAAACCTAGACAAATTTCCATGTTGATGTCCTCCTCTAATTGTCCATGCAAGAAAGCATTTTTCACTTCAAATTATTGCAATTCATCTTTGCCATTGAAGCAAATGTCTCCTCATAATCGGCACCATAAGTCTAACTAAATCCTTTAGCAACTAATGTTACTTTGTAAAGTTCTAAGTTCATATGTGTTTGAGTATGTTTACATGGGTATGTAAGGCTTGAATGCATGTATGATGTGTTAAGTATGTTTCCACGTGATCTAGGATTGATGTATGTATGTTTAAATGCTTGAATCATGTCCATTATGTGTTTCAATTCGACAATAATCGATTGTCATCAGTTATAATCATGATGATCTATGTGTGAGATGTTACTGATGACATCAACAGTTAGAGATCAAAAATCAATGATCAAGGATTGAGGATCGAGGATAGAGTAATTCATGGTGATTGAAGTGTTATGATTAGAGGATTAGAAATTCTTTTGTTATTACTACTATTTATGGGGTGTTGGATTATATTGTTAATATAATCAGAATATTATATCTTGTTATTATGATTGTTTTATCGGGAGCTTACCCCATACGTGTTTGTAAATAAAATTATCGGCGATGATCGTATAATGCGTTATATGTGTACAGATGATGTTGCAGATGATGCTGAGACATGATTGATTCGAGAGATGACGAGGACAAACTTGGGTTTTTTTTCAAAGTTATTGCATTTGAATGTTAAAACAATGTAATTGAAACTGTTTTATTTCCTTCGTTATTTCTATGGAACAAATGCTTTTGGAACTATTATGTTTTGAATACATTATGTCGTTTAAAGGTTAAGGTTTTTGAAAATACGTTTCTGCATTATGATAAAGTTATGTATTTTATCGGTTTTTGAATAACCCGTGACACTCTGAAATTTGGAGCGTTACAGTTCTTGTATGAAAGTGATAAAACATTATTCAAGAGATTCAAAAGACTTGGCCTCAAAAGAACTCTCTCCCTAAAGCTGAGGACATTAGTAAAAAGATTTAGTTTCATCAAAAGTGACATTGATGGAGGTATAAAACTTTGAACCAAAGGATGATAAGAGCGATACCCCTTTTTTATAAAATGCATAACCCACAAATATGCATTTAACAACTCTAACATCTAACTTTCCACGAAATTGACTATGAATACGAATAAACACAACATGTCCAAACATTAGACTATGAAGACTAGAGAGAAAAGGAACATATGGAAAGAAGGAAAATATGAACTCAATGGGACTAGAACCATATAGGACTCGAGAGGGTAATCAGTTAATAAGATAGGCTGTAGTGAGGATAGTCTCTCCCCAATAAGATCTAGGGATATTCATTTCGAAAAGAAGTGTTCGTACCACCTCAAGAAGATGCCTATTTTTTCTTTCAATAATGTCATTTTGTTGTGGTGAACTCACACAAGTAAATTCATGAACAACATCATTTTCGGAAAGGAATTTAGACATGTCATGATACACATATTCCTTCCCATTACCATAACATAAATATTTAATTGACTTCCAAAATTTGTGTTTTTACCATTTGGAAGAATTTGACAAATAAGTAAAAACTTTAAATTTTTCCTTCATGAGGAAAATCCATGTACAATGGGTATAATCATTAATAAATGTGACAAACCATTTAGAACAAGATATATCATAGTTTGATGCAAGCTCCCAAACGTCAAAATGAAATAAATCAAAATGATGAATTAAATCAAAATGACATACACTCTTTGTATTACTAGGAGGATATGTGATGACATGGTGTATTGCAAGTTGACATACATCACATTTAAATGACTCAACAAACTCTTTCAAAAATAAGGAAGGGAACATGGACTTTAGAGCAAAAAATTAAGGATGTCCTAAACAATGATGGAGAAGCCAACTTTGAGAGGACTCTAAAGTATAGAAAGATTGGAGACAAGAGGTAATTTAAGAAGGCACAAAAATAGTGCAAGATTCTGGGAAACACAATGGGTAAGAAAGAAGGTTACATAACACTTTATGTCATGGGACCTTCATAAATCGTCCTTTATGAAGGTTAAAGAACACTTTGGTCTCCTCCATAAATCGTCCAAGGACCTTCCTTGTTTGTTAACCATTATTTCTAGATTCTCCCTTCCATGACTTCCCCCCTTCAGAGATTCGGCAGGTCAAACAAATTGATAGGTTTCTTGGTAGCACCAACCCTTGGTTAAGCACACAACACGCACACAACTCACAAAAAAGTAAATTGTATTGATATTTGAGGTACATAGGAATTGTTCGAAAGCATCCAAGGAAGCAATTCTTCCTTCACACATAATGTAATATTCCTGTCAAAATGTGTCATTCTCGAGACATTCTTCCCCCCTTTATAGCTAACACCTTAACCCAAACACACCTACCCCAATAGCCTAAAAGAGATTAATGAGGGATATGGTATGCGGTATCAGGTTTGAGAACCCAAGAGTCCTTACATAAAATTTTAGAAACATTAAAAGAGGAATTGAAGTTTTACCAGTATGGCTAGAAAGCAAGTACCATAAGGTGACCTACTGGTAGACTCCATGAGAGTTTTCAATCTTCAATTTCAGCACATAGTGCATGTATCTCTAAAGTTAGAAGCTCAACATTGCTTAGTGGAGCAGTCATGCTTAAGTAAATAATAGGGATTTCTTAGCCCCTCTTAACTAAAAAAGAACAATAAGACAAAAGGCTCTAAAGGTGGCAACAACGACAATTTTAACGGAAGCTCCAACAAAAAGGTTTGACAACTCCGGTAGAAGTCTGGCAAGGGTCCGACAAGGGTTCGATGACAACTCCGATGAGGGTCTGATGACAACTCTAACAAGGGTCCAATGAGGGTTTGATGACAACTTCAACGAGAGGTTTGACAACAGCTCCAGCAAGGTTCTAACGACAGCTTCGGTGAGGGTCTGACAAAGGTTTCAACTAAGGTCTGACAACAACTCCGACAAAGGTCCAACAACTCCACAAGTTGGGTACACTTCAAGTAACCCTAAAAAGAACTAAAACTAAGAAAGTAAAGGAGAAATGCGGAAGCAAGGCTCCCAAGATCGGGAGCTCTAATACCAACTTGAAATGATTAATATGAAAGAAAGAAGATTTTTATTCAAATTGATTCTTTGAAAGAGTACATCAATCTCTATATATAGAGAACTCTAACCCTAAAGTAATAATTACAAAGAGATTTCTACAATCTTCTAAAAACCCTCTAGAAACTTCTATTAGCTTCTACTAATACATTTAATATTCTACCAACTTCTAGTAATGCATTTAACGTCTTACTAACAACACGTTCGTACACATATCAACATCCCTACCAAAGCAATTTATCCCAAGAGAATAATTCACACTCCCAACATTTTAAACAGAGCAGAGAGACCATGTATTTTCAAGTTCCAAGATAAGGAAATATTGCAGAAAATGCTCTAAAATAGAAGGCAAAACTCACTATGTCGGATTACTTTAATTCCGATTGCACCTTCAAGCATCCTAGCTTTTGAACCATCATGGTCATATTCATGAAGTCCTGATTCACAACAATAAAGCAGCAGAAAACAATTTAAGTGACACAGTGAACAACTTGTACCATAAAATTCAGAACATTTTCTAATTGCTTCAAGCTAGAATTACCAGCAGAGTTACTAAATACAGCAATATCATGACCAAATGCCAATTTACAACACTCCAATGAAGACGCAAGTGGTGGCCAGGGCTTCAAAGAGTAAGGAGCTGTAATAGTATTGTCTTTGTCAAAGACAACTCCCTTAAATCCCTTTTTGCGCAGCACAGCCCAATCAATGTACCGTATATCAGGAACAGAAATATGGGGCATTGCCAATTTTGGGTCTTTAAACATCACCATAGTTGAACATAGAATGGCCTCCAAGTTTATTCTTTGGCCAAGTGCTGCTTTCACATCTACCCACCACATGTTCGTGAAAAGGCTAGCCCTGTTATTGTCCTTGAATTCTCCTTGGTCGTCTACTTGATGATGGTAGTGGTTTCTTGTCCTTGGATGTTGATTATTGATGTCATCTGTGTCACTGTCAGGGAACAATTGTAGAAATAATAAGTGTTTGTGGTTCTGGTTTGAATTGGAATTGTGAACTGAACGGTTATTGCTTTCTTTCCCTTTGCTGCAATTGTGGGTCTGAGGAAGACTTAGGCCACATAAGTTTTTGAGGGAAATTTGGCTATCTGCATTGGCAAGTGATAGAGTCGTGAGTTTTCTCTTTTGTTGGGCATGATGATGGACGTTAAGATGGTTGGGAATGCGGTACCAACAACTTGGAAGCTGAGCAGCGACAGTAGTCAACAGCATTTTATTCTTTTTCTTGCTTAACTAATGTCATGGCCACATGTTGCTACAGATGTATGCTTCAATCATTGCTACTTATATAATAAGATCAAAACAAAATTACGGTTTTTAATTAAAGATCAATAAATAGAAAATGTAACATCAATGGAAGTATAATGAAGGTAAGCATCTTACATAAAAGATTCTAAATACAAGATAATTTGAAAAAGTAAAATAGTCCACGAAAACACGGAGTCAAAAAGAATTAGTCATACAAATTAAAATGTTCTAGTCTTCTCATAAAAAAAGTCTCACCTTAAATTATTATCATTCATTGCTTCTAGGTGCAGTTGTTGCCAAAAGAACACTGAATGTCCAAAGGCAGAGCAGTTAAGTGTAATAATTATTGTACATGATTAGTAAGCTTGTTATGGTTAGTAACATATGACTNTAGGCCACATAAGTTTTTGAGGGAAATTTGGCTATCTGCATTGGCAAGTGATAGAGTCGTGAGTTTTCTCTTTTGTTGGGCATGATGATGGACGTTAAGATGGTTGGGAATGCGGTACCAACAACTTGGAAGCTGAGCAGCGACAGTAGTCAACAGCATTTTATTCTTTTTCTTGCTTAACTAATGTCATGGCCACATGTTGCTACAGATGTATGCTTCAATCATTGCTACTTATATAATAAGATCAAAACAAAATTACGGTTTTTAATTAAAGATCAATAAATAGAAAATGTAACATCAATGGAAGTATAATGAAGGTAAGCATCTTACATAAAAGATTCTAAATACAAGATAATTTGAAAAAGTAAAATAGTCCACGAAAACACGGAGTCAAAAAGAATTAGTCATACAAATTAAAATGTTCTAGTCTTCTCATAAAAAAAGTCTCACCTTAAATTATTATCATTCATTGCTTCTAGGTGCAGTTGTTGCCAAAAGAACACTGAATGTCCAAAGGCAGAGCAGTTAAGTGTAATAATTATTGTACATGATTAGTAAGCTTGTTATGGTTAGTAACATATGACTACTACAGTCCAATAAGATCTATAAATAGAATTTTTTATTTCACATCATTATCATTTTCAATGAGTTTAATATATTACCCTGTGAGTATTTTGAGCTCTTAATCTTTCTTATCAAAATGATCTTCATGTTGTTGATCCATCGCTTTGTCACAATAATAAAAAAGCTCAACGCTAAAATACATTCTCTAGGTTATACACTATGTAAACAAAACCAAAGGCAAGATTCTTTTCCCCTTGGCAATAGATATTCTTACTAACTGGCATAACAATAAATAATTTGAGTTTATAATGATGCAAAAATTTAAAAGAAAACACAAAAAATCCACTCCAATCATGAACTATCTATTGCGTTTCTTGGTGACAAAAAAAAGAAACCCTGAAAACTGTCCTGGTGTGAACACCAGACACGTAACTCACTCTAGCACACAAAAGATTATCTGCCTCTGTATTTCTGGTAACACAACAATGTACAAAAGCATTCAAGGAAGCCTGTCTTCCTCCCCACATGATGCAATTTACCTGTCCCAACTACAAAACAATACAGCATGTCCCTTCAAGACACTCATTCCCCTTATATAGCTAATTCCTTAAACAACCACCCAAACATAACTGCCTAACCAACTTCCCCCGTCCATCCCACCTTATGTCCTGTTTTTGTCCCCTTTTTTCCTGACATAAACCCTTAAGACCCATTCATTACTCGCTGACCTCTAAACAATCTTGTCCTCAAGGTGAAAATCTGAGAATTGGTCCTTCATGGTTGCCACATCCTGTCCTCCTCAGCATCTTTGTTCCCTAAAATCTGAACAATTCTTTCCAAAACAAGCTTAGGAACGTAGGATCTCTATAGCTTACTGTGGAAGAAGGTATGTCGTGTAGTCTTACTATGTCCCTTACAAACAGGCATGACCAAAAATTCATAATGTCCTTGGTGTGTGCGAAATGTTGTTTTGTGGATGTCTTCTTCCTTCATCCTTATTTGATGGTAACCTGCCCTTAGATCCACTTTTGAAAAAAAAAACTGGCCCCTTGTAGTTCATCCAACAATTCTTCTATAACAAGAATAGGGAACTTGTCTGGAATGATCGATCGCCTTGTTCAAAGATCTGTAATTTATGCAAAACTCCAATTGCCATCTTTTTTTATCACCAAGATAACATGGCTAGAGTATGGGCTCTTGTTGGGCCTAATTATCCCCATTCCCAGCATTTTAGCTACCTGTTTTTCTATTTCAGATGTTAACAGGTGAGGATACCTATAGGGCCTCACGTTGATAGGGTCCACTCTGACTTTAATAGGGATCTTATGATCATGGTCTCTTCTGGGTGGTAGTTTTGTTGGTTCCCTGAAAATCTCCTCATACTTCCCTAAAATCTTCTCAAGTTATGTGGACTCTCTTGACGATAACTGTTCCAGCCTTCTCTCTTTTTCTTCCAACTCAGTTTTTTCCAAACTCCAAACTAAAGTAACAACTTCAATTTCAGTTTCCTTTAGTAGAGCCGCAGGGGTCACCATTTTCTTGGCCAGAGTAGGATCGCCTCTAATCATCACCTTCCTCTCTCCTTGGGCAAAACTCATAGTTAAATTTCCCCAATTGATTTTGACTTTCCCCTAGTGAAGCCAACCATGTTACCCCAATATGAAATCCACCCCACCTAGTTCAAACAAATAAAACCTCTCCTTCACCTCCACCCCTCCAACACCACTGAAATGTCGCTACAACATCTGCTTGTAGTCTTCATGTGTCCATCTCCCAAGCATATTTTGTAGGGAGGGGTTTCTTCCACCACCCAGCCTAGTTCAGCCACCAGTTTTGTTGAAATGAAATTGGGGTTGGCGCCACTATCAATTAACATCAACACACGTCTTCCTTTTACCCATCCCTCTAATTTCAAAGTCTTTGACTATGTCAGCCCCCAACCGAGAAGACTGACAACTCCATGCACTTATGCTCCATTTCCACCTCCTCTTCTCCTTCTCCTTCTTCCTCACACTTAGCCATAATCAATATCCTCATACTCCTTTCTGGGCACCTATGGTCTAGACTGTATAGGCCCCCACAGTGAAAACATCTCCCCTTTTCCCTTGTATGGATGTACTCTAGATAAGGAAGGTTCCTTATCCCTCTGCTTCGGTTATCTCTAGCCATATTACTTCCAATCTTGGATACTCCCAAAGTACCGGCCCCTCATTCCTTGTTGTGCTTATGTCACTTGAAGTACCCTGTGTTAAGACAAGATCGTCTGAGAGAGAGACTAGGATCGTCTACAACATCTCTAGTTTTGAAGTTTAACAAACAACATTAAACGAAATAGTCTTGGGTAATCAAACACACAAAAGAAGCATCTACACAACAAGCCTAATCAAAGTTGTGTCAAAAGCTACATAAGATGTTAAATAATAGAAGAGAAAAGATAAAACAACATAGGAGCATAACAGAAGTTCACACAGAAGAATTAAAAACATATAACAAGTACAAGAAACATCCAAGTTAAACTGACGAAACACTGAGCGCACCAAGTACAATATCTGAAGAACTTAATATGCAAAACGTAATAATCAACTCTTAGTCTAGAAAGGTCGTTAAGGGAAAGGCCAAGATCGTTTAGTGACTTCACACTTCTTGAGGACTAATGAATAGCATTGAGCCAAAAGATGCTTAACAAAGTATTATCCTCCTGAAATTCACAACACAAATGGAAAAACGACGTATAAATAGGGCTGAAGAAAAAGCCTTTGTAAGACGCTCCATTCAACGGTTTGCCTATTAATATGTCAATGAGAGTCTGGATGCAACCAGTGTTATACATCACTAAGCGATGATAAAACGAACTCTCAATACATGTTGATAGATGAAACTGTCAAAAGATATTTTTGGAAAGTAAGCTAAAAGTCTTAAACATAATCCAAGAAATCATACTGAATGAGAGTCTTACTAAATCACTCGTGTTACACCTTGCTAAACGAGCTAAACGAACTTTCACTATAAAATAATGTTTATGGTAATCGTACTAAAGGTACAAACATAATTCCATAAACATATGCTAAAAGATATCTTACTAAGCATGCTCTTGAACTAAACGCGTATTTACTAAACATGGTGCCATTAAGAAAAGCCCTTCATAGGCTAAACGATACCGTGTGCTAAAACAAAGTTTTCATCCAACTATGAAATCTTATCAACTGCTTGGTATCTTAATGAAAAGCTTAAACGATCAAATCCTGCCTGAACAGTAGAAAACATAAAAAGCACTTTGTTGTTCTGAGCAGACATTAAATGTCATTAAATGCTCAATGTTTAAAAACAACAAACGTGATAAGAGAAAAGACATATATGTTTCATGCATATCTACTCTACTTTATGTAGATTTTCTATTACTCACATCTACCAGCTCTATCAAATATAAGGCAAAAATAGATGTTAGAGAAAAGAAGACATTTGTGGAACGATCTTCTCATCAAAAGTCGCACCAAAGTGATTACACAATCTACTTTTGATAAAGTACTGAAAAAGCAAGTCTGCTTTGACAAGTAGACCTCAACCTATGACAGTCACCTATGATAAAGGCTACAAAGAGCCGAATTTCGAGGACAAGCATCATCTAACGACTACATTATCAAAAGGCTTATAAATAGAAGATCTTTGAAGAAGAAGAACGAGAGGATGGACACTTAAGGAATGAAAAGAAAAATCATCCTCATGGAAAGATCAATAATTCTCTCAAAACTATTTAGAATCAGACCTTCTTGTGTAAGAAGAAAGAGAGAGAAAAGCTTAAAAGGAAGAAGAAGACTCTCAAACTTCATTGACTTATAAGCTTACCGTTGTAAGAAGAGAGGAGAGAGAAAAGTTCAGTGAGTCTATTAGATTAAATTGTATTACATACATATCCTCTTTGTGAGAGTTATCGTCTAAGGACTTGTATTCAATCTTTTGATTGTAAATTCTGAAGAGAATTCAAACACTTGACATTTAACATGGTGGAGTTAAACACTAGCTAGACATGTGTGTCTAGTGGAAAATAGGAGTGGGTGAAACTCAGTGATGTTTAACTTAATAGAGTTAAACGGTAGCTAGACATGTGTGTCTAGTGGAAACCAGGACTAGGTGAAACTCAGTGACATTTAACTTGGTGGAGTTAAACGATAGCTAGACAAGTTT